AAAGAACTAAAAATAGATGAGAGAGAGACAAATACAGTCCCAATACAAGGTTTCTGCAGCTGCTCAGGAGCTTGTTATCAGCAGGAGCTCAGAACACAAGCAGACAAGACCATCTCCCACAGATAAGTGACAGCAGCTTGTGAATTTGAAGCATGAGATTTTTGAACTAGTCCTCAGTGCACCTTAAGTTCCTGACACAAACAGTGACTGCATTGATTCAGGTTTGGAGAAGGGAAAGTTTGTGTCAAGTGTGAGAAGGGGGGAGACTATTAGAATCCATTTTAGTGCTCAACGCTGGTGATGGGACTGCTTGGAGCCATTACCCACTAGTGCTAGATATGTCGGCATCAGGTCTTTTCTTAATTGAACCAATGGCCAGTTTGACCTCTGGCAGGACCCAAAGATTAGGACAAGAAAGGATATCTAATAAAAGTTATCTCTTATGCTATTCTCGGTCCCAGATATATCCAGCACCATTGTGGCACACTTGGCCTTTTGAAATCTATCTTGCTCCTGATAATGGGATCCAGGTAATTTTTGACAAGTAATACATAGTGGGCATGTGTACATGAGACACTACTGTGCAGTAGCAACTAGCTTGTTGCTACTGCACAGTAGCATAGTCAAGCACTAACTATGATGCAACACTACTGCACAGTAGTAACGAGCTGCAGTGCAGTAGCTAATTGCTACAGCACAGTAGCATCTGAAAAAAAACTGGGGGGGACGCTACTGTACAGTGATGCCAGTTACTGCACAGTCATTTAGTGCTTGCTTATGCAAATACGAAATGCTTATGCAAGTACTAAATGCTTATGCAAATACGAAATGCTTATGCAACTACTAAATGCTTATGCAAATACGAAATGCTTATGCAACTACTAAATGACTGCACAGTAACAACTGCGCGTTCCACCGCTCATGTAGACATGGCCAGTGAGTGGAGAAGGATATATTCCATATCTTTCATCCACATGACTAGTAGATTATATATATGTGTGTGTGTGTGTGTGTGTGTGTGTGTGTGTGTATATATATATATATATATATGTTACTCAGGTACATGTAGTATATAATACATGACCGGTTGCATAATTATTAAATAGGTCAAAAATTGCCCATGAGAACTATATTTTCAGGGGGGAATTGAGTTTTTCGTGGAAGAGCATTTTTCATGAAAAGTATCTATTTATTGTGGCAAATACCAAGTTTATGATAAGAAAGTGAGTTATGCAAAACAAGAAAAAAAAACCATCAGGATAAAAAGTGTTTGTTCAAATGATCTCCGATGTCACAATTTTCTGCAGGAAAAGAAAAGTATGATCCACTCTAGTTAAAGTTAAATCTCATACAACATCAAAGCGTTCTCATAACTCTTGAAATCCAGCATCTTACCTATGTGTTATTACTTAGTTTCCTACTTTGGAGAATCTTGTCTCTATAACCCAATTTTTCCAAGGTGCTGCGTAAGTATTTTGAGGTCAAATTCCAACAGAGGCCTCACAGTTCATATCTGGAAAAGGAGGTATTGAGAATTTGAGGTCACTTGAAAATGTGAAACTCAGTGTTTAGCTCTAAGGGAAAAAAATAAAAAGATTTTGCTGAAAGAAAGAGGGGCTGTTTCTTGGCCTTCATCTTATACACATAAATTGAGTTTTATTTCTAAATAGTGGATGCTGTTTTTTTTAAGACTGACTTTTTAAATGTGCAAAGCATTCATTTATTCTCCTCTGTATATGCTCTTATGACTCTGAAAAAAACGGTGAATGTCTGTTTGCAGGTGGGGAAGGCAGCAACAGAAACCGTATTTTCCGACCCCAAATGCTCATTTGAGGCCTATCTGCTTTGGGAAGTGTATGGACTCTGTTGCTTAGTAACCACCCTCCCAACTCTTGGCAGCAGGAGGGTGCTGTGAGCATACATGCGCATTGATAATCTGTTTTCGAGACCCACAGAAGGCTCCGTTGTGATGCAGTCAGCTAGATTATATTTCACATGAAATCAATTCATTTTAACCCAGTGCTATGGGCAAGCTTTGAAGCAGTTCTTTGTAACCTTGCACTAGGAGCATCCCCATATGTTTTTATATCAAACGAAGGGAAGGCAATGATGCCTAAGAATGTTTATAAATGCTATTACAAGCTAAAACCCACAGTACATCTTCTTAGGAAAGGGAGAGAAAGTGCTCGTTGCTTTGGGTGGGGCTGAGCTGATATATAGACATTGGAGCAGTTAATATAAAGAAGGGGCAGGACAATATTTCCTTCTTCCTTTTCTATAAGTACGCTGTAAGGGTAATGAATTGATTTTCTATGTATGTAGTGTGCATTTGTTCATATAGGTGTATCTATGTGTGTGTTATTCTGTAGGCACTGATGGATCCAAGGTGTACACTAGATGGTGCTTGCACAACACAGGGAACAAACAGCACATCTATCTCAAGGTTTAAGGTTTGCCGGCCTCCCACGGCTCGATCTCTAGCTATTTTGTGATGCGTGTTCTGGTCTAGCAGGTCAAGCCAGGTAATTAACTGAAGAAGTGTTGTGAGTAATATGAGTGATGGCTGTTTGCTATGTCATAGCCGTGGCACATTATGGAAATAAGGGGTTGCTTATCTTTATGCAGATATACTGCTATGTTGCAAGGTGATATCTCTATTTCTACCTATAGCTATCTCCTGGCAGCGCAGCAGTCTAGTACTATGGAGGGTATGGCAAACTGGGTAGTGATTTAAATGCCAGCTATAGTGTTTTAATGAGTCCTGTAGACCCAACCCTAATATTTAAAAACACGGATAGAGTCTATTTACTATATGGCTGTACAGCATAAAGCAAAAAGGGACCTCCATTTGATTATTCTTGCCTATTATCAAAATGTACATGCAAAAGCATCATCATCATCATTTAAAAGAAGAAATAAGTTGTTTGAGCATTTTTAAAAATGTGTTTTTTGGAGGTGGGGTGAGGAGTGAAATTATCGTATATTTTCTAGAGGAGGGTGGGGAGGAAACTTCCTCTTTTACTTCATTTACCTGGGTTGT